AGGGACACTATGTACCTAGTACTTACTTGTATCAATTCCTTGTAGCATATCTTTATCTTGAGCTGAAGTTTGCTTGACTTGATATAAGAGCTCATTCCATTCCAGGTTTTGCGCATCTGAAAACAGACAAAAAATAATGTATTTCACCAATCAACAGACCATTGAGGACTTRAGGACTTTTGACTCCATTCTTTTCATTGATTGAATTATGGCATTTAGACAATGATTCCCGTTACATACCATCTTCAACATTCTTGAACTCCATGGTGGAAGCACCAATTACCAACAATGCATCAAATAGATCCTTATACAGTGGTGTAAACTCTGCAGGTGTAATCCTGTTGCTTTCTGTATGACAAAGTGAGTTTCTTGTTTCTCTTAAACATTTTAAGCCTTCAACTAAAGCCCTGTTGCTCATGTCCACAAATGGAGGCCTGGAATTCAATAGCACTTTGACAAACAGAGATATATCCCACTTTGTAGTGTCCCCTGACTGGACTTTCGGTCTCTCATAAGGTGGATGTGGAGTGTACTTTGTCAATAAGTCAGTGCCATTTTGATGGCTGTCAGTCCATGGAACAAAGACACCACTATACATGGAATTCCACTCTTCTATGAACAACTTGCGTAACTTTACCAGGCCTACCCTGGAAAGTAGTAGTACCAGGCAGCAGTAATTCCTGGAAAACAAACAAGAAATAATGATTTTGGTCAAATATTATTGCAGTTGAATTATATTCTCCATAGAAGGACAGAGCAGGAAAGAAAAAGCAATTTTTTCAGTGCATATAGTAACATTTTATCAGTCAATCAAATGCAATTTTCATGATTTTGTGTTCAATTGTGGATTCACTTATTGACATTTTACTGAGTAATACCTTATTATAAAAATGTTGCCCTGAAATCTAGGAACACATTGAAAGACAAAGGATAAAAACTTTCCATTGAATTTAAAATCATTCGTTAACAGCAAAAGTTCTACTTTTGGACAATGTTTTTGTAATAAGTTACCTCATTAGTAATCTAATCAAAGAACCTTTTTTAAACCTAAAATTGTCAAACACTGACTTGCTTTAGTAAAGATTTATATTTCAAGTTTCATAGATAACTGGATAATATATAGAACATTACATGGTTCACTGGTCAATATGAGCAGGAGACCTTTACTGGCATTTTAAAATGGTAAGCTTTACGCAAGCAGTTTTAAAGCTCTATAGATGTCAGGCATGGATATTCTATACTTCTTATCAAATTCCAAGATAAGCTAAAGCATATTTCGCTAAAACCTCAAGATAAAATATTATCACAGTAATGAATCAAYGCTTTTTTTTCTAATCAATCAATGCTGTGTTTTACTTATGAAATGAATCAACGCTGTGTTTTACCAATGAATTATGAATGAAATTGATAACATTTTGTTCATCAAATATCAATTGATATCAGATATCAACATTTCATAAGATATCAATTGAACCCTCCACATGTTCATGTAATGTCCTCTATT